CCTTCCGACCCTACTAACTATGAAACTATGAAACTATAATTCTGAAACAGAAGGTTATATTTGGAGGATCAGGAATGTTGTCTTTATGATTGTTATAACATGGCAGAAATTACTCTGTTACGAGCATTTTTATTAAAATAATTTTATTTAGTCTTAACAATATCAGCATTATTAAATCATTGATCCTAGACATAGCAAAGTTTACTGGAAGAAACAGAATTTGCACATCAGGGTAACGCAGAACTATGTACACAAGGAAATAAAACAGCTGAGTTAGAAGTGCATCACAAATGTGTGCAAGCCTGCAGTGTATGTGAGGAAGCGCTGGTCTAGCGAGGTGTGGAATGTCCTCAGCCCTGACTCGGGTCACTTAAGGTTGACAACAGTCAGCACTTTGCAGCATCACCTTATTCTGTGCCCATACAACTTCAACAAGGCGCATGCTCTGAAACTCTCTTGGCATAAATACATTGTCCAGGGGAGTGCAAAGATCTTGAAGGCCAGGTCTATTATATAGTTAACCAGATATCAGCCCAATGGAAATTGTATGACTGTTAAAAGAATCCTATTCATAGAGTTTAAGGTTTAGGAGGAAACTTTATATCATCTAGTTCAGTGGTGCTCAATCTTTTGGCCCTGCAGGCTGGATGAGTGACGTGGAGTCAGTCCACAGGCCTGGATTAGGTTCTGCTCCACCTCTACCCTGCGCACTGGGGGGCTCTGTGCTGCCCTGATTGGCCCTGTGTTGTCCCAATCAACCCTGCATGCCCCATGTAGCATGCAGAGCCAACACCGTCCAACTTGCAGGGCTCTCTCCAGGTCTGGAAGTTGGGCAGCAGAGGAGCAGTAATTAGCTACTACCATTCCCCCACTACTGAATTTTCAAACCTATGGTGAGCCTGGTAGCCCAGAAGTGGGCTGGATATGGCGTATGGACCAGGGGTTGAGCACCTCTGTTCTAGTCTGACCTAGCGTGACACAGGCCATGGAGCACTCTGTAGTTTGGACCAGGATGAAAGTTTTGCTACTGACTAAAATGGGACCAGGTTTTCACCCTTTGCCCTTTAACTGCTCTGTGACTTGTTCCTGCCTACATCCTGCCCTTTTCCCCTTCCCACGCTCCTGCAGTTCACCTAGCAATGTGCTGTATCTCCACTTCATGAGCTTTCCAGCAGTTTTCAAACTGCAGCTAAAAACTGCTTTTGCCTTCTTTGTCTACTTCTCATTCCCTCTCTCTCCCTTCTGTTATTTATATGCATGTGATAGTCTGTGCCTTTGCAGCATAATCATTTTCTTTTAAATTGATAATTCTCTTTTAGATTTCTGCCCTGAATGAGAGAACTCAGGCTTCGATTTTTTTCACAAACAGTTTCTCTTTTAAAAAATCATTTACATTACCATAAAAGCCATAAAATACTCTAAAATAATCAGTTATAAAATGGTGCAAAGACCAAACAAGGCAACTTTTCTTGTTTTCATGTGGACAAATATTTCGCTCTTGATGCTTGATAATGTAGAGACTTGTTATAATAAATCCCCGCATCATATTCAAGAATGCATTTTCATATTTAATTTTGGGCACAGAATTGGAGCTTTAATGGTCAATAAAACGATGGCAATGCCTAATATACATTAGGGTTGGTTAGGAATGAGAAGAATGTTAGAACGCTGCAAGTTAGTTCCAAGAGCTAAAGTGAATGGCTGCATCTTATCTTTACAGGGACCAAAATGTGTTTCAGCCTCATTAATTCTGAAGCCAGGTTTTTAGTTTTAATTGCAGTACTTGCATGTGATTAGTTACAACGGGAGATGTAATCGCCTAAGTTCCCACGACAATCCTGCGACTGATTGCACCAGGCAGCGTGTAGATGAAAAGCACCAGGAAGATGATCAGAATAAGCAGAATGAGCCCAATGATGATATACTTCTTGTAGTTTCGCCAGATGAGATGATACAAGCACTTGAAAGGATTTACAAACCAGGAGAAGGATGTGTCAGGTCGGCTGAATGAAAGGAAAAGAAAAACAAACCCTTGGTAAGGACAAATCCAACTGTTTCCAAACTTTGTTATGTTATAAAATTAATGCCATGTAAAAAATATCCCTTTCCAAAACAAGACTGTTTAACCCCTGGGAACATATTAATTTGGGGTGGCCAACTTGTGGCATATATGCCAGAAGTGCCACGGGCTGCCTGTATTTGTATCATGCAGGAAATTGGGGAGGGGACATGAACACAGCAGCAGATAGGGCAGGAAGCAGAAAGCAAAGAAACAGATTGGGTGGGGAGCATAGGGCAGGAAGCAGAAAGCAGAGCAGCAGATTGAGCAGAGGAAGGGGACCTTAGTGGCACTCTGGAGGGTTTGGGGCTCATTTGTGGGACACCTGCCAAAAAGGTTGGCCCCCACTGCATTAATTGTTTCTAATATCCAGTAAACTTCAGAGTATTCTCTGGATCACTCAACATACCATCAACCACCAGCTACCAAAGCCATAAACACCATACACCACTGCGTAGAGTGAAACATGTTCTTCACCATTCATAGCTATGCAAATTAAGACAAGACGTACGATCCTAATTGATGTGGTAACCCACAGCAAATTTTAAATGTGAAACTGGGGTGCCACAAGGTCTGATCCAAAGCTTAGAGAAATTCCTATTAGCTTCAGTGGAACAGGATCAGAGTTTTAACACATAGCCAATGCCATTAAAAACAATCTGCTTCCCTGGTTATAATTGTTCAAGTACATGTAACATTTGGGAATCAGTTCAGGCATAGTGCTGAGATTATGCCACCCACACAAATGCAGTTTTAAATGCAGTCTTGACCACAGATCATTGAGAAACAACCTTCAAGGCTCAGATTGTGATGGTTCTTTGCATGAATTCAAAAGGAAGGAAGGAGCATTAGAAACTTTTCCCCTATACACAGGACAACAACATTTTCCATCCCCAAGTGTCCTGAGTGCAAGGATGCTTTGTCCTGCCCCTGCCTCTGCTACACCAGTCAGAAGAGGCAGGATCACGGCTCTGACCTTCTTCAAATGATCCAGCAGTATTGGCTGATCCAAGGAGAATAAGAATTTGAAGCCAAAGGGATGGTGTACAGCAGCCAGCTCCTCATAGCATGAGAAAATCTTTGCAAAAGGTTTTTAAATGCGTTGTGCATCATGCGTACAGTTTAAAATGCCCCAGAAGGCTGTGTGCCTCTCTAACTGAATTGGACCAGAGCCTGTCAGCTGTG